TTCTTATCTAGCGTATTAAGAATGTTTGATGGGTCCTTTTTTCTGAGTGAGCTTAAAAAATAATCTATATAAGTTGCATTCAGATAATTAAAAAAAAAGGAAAGCAAGGGAGGGAGGAAGAAATTGCCCTTCTGCATTTGGAGTTTCTGCCATTGGTGATGACTTTACTTTCCCTAATATTTTTGTATGATTTTTTATATAATATTTTCCCAAGAATTTTGAAGCCCTTTTTCATCTAACAACTTTGTGAGGTAAAGCAGGGGTCCCCAACCCGTGGTCCGTGGACTGGTACCGGGCTGCAGCATGCCAGCAACCAGTCCGCACAACCAAGCAAAGCCTCATCCATAGGATACAGGCAGCACACAAAATCACACACTGTCCAATCCATGGAAAAACCTCTCTCCACGGAACCGGTCCCTGGTGCCCAAAAGGTTGGGGACCTCTGAGGTAAAGTATAGATTAAGACAGTGATGGCGAACCTTTTAGAGGCCGAGTGCCCAAACCACAACCCAAACCCCACTTATTTATCACAAAGTGCCAGGGCATTGTGGTGCCCTCAGGGCGGGCATGGGGGTGTGACCCAATGGGTGGGCGTGGCCCACTGGGTGGGCCTGGCTGTGATTGTCACGGCAGACTGGGTGGGCGTGGCTGAGGTGAGCATGGCCACCTCGATGCTGCTCATGGGGGGAATGCCTGTGGGGGCTGGGCAGGGTTGGGGGAGATCCAGGAGGTCTCTGGCGAGTGGGGCAGTGGGCAGGAGGCCCAGCATAGATGGGGAGGAGGCATGCAATCCTAGCTGGGACTGGGGAGCCATGACGCTGATGGGGATGAATCTGGCTTTCCCTGCTCGGGGTGGCCTTTGGCTTGCTGGGTGTGGGCGTGCTCTACCACCACTACTCGAGCTCGCTAGCTGGCCGCTTCGCCTCCTTTGTGCTGGGTGCGGCTGCCGCCCCAGATGGCAGCAGCAGCCTAATGGACCTGCGCAAGCTGCTGGCAGTGGCGGCACGCGTGCCCACAGAGAGGGCTCCAAGTGCCGCCTCTGGCACGTGTGCCATAGGTTCGCCACCACTGGATTAAGACATGCAAAATCACTCAGTGAGTTTAATGACTAAATGAAGATTTTTATAAGCTGGATGTGTTGATGAATTTTAGGTGATCATGATTCAGTGCTTTGTCTGTGGCTTATGCTACATCAAGGAAATGCACCACAGTATCTCTCATAAACCTCTTTTGAATTTCTAATTGATGAGAGGCTCTCTTCTACATTTTTTGGTGGATAAAATATCACACAGAGACGAACATCACCCATCTCCCTCCAACAAGCAAAGAGTTCTCAGTTTGTCCGTAACATGCACCAATTTAAAATTAATTATAGGCACCCCATCCACATACATGTTTGGATGTGCAAAGGGAATGCAGATCACTCTTTTTTTTTTCAGCTGTAGCACTGGGAGGAAACCTCAGGTTCACGTCACTCATCAAAATCTGCTAAGTTCTCACTATGTTAAGGGCACTAGGCCACATTCTTGAACTCCATATATGGTGATGCTGTTGTTTTGCACACCATACGAAGACTGGTATCATGACAAAATTATTATCTCTGAAGGCTTGATTACATACCAGTTAGGGGTAAAAGGAATCCCAGAGCTGGTTTTAGAAATCAGAGAGAGCTGTAAGTAGAATTTCTTAGCTGGTTTGATATTCAACATAGTAGATTACTTGGATTTTAGTAACTAAAAAAGAAAAACCATGGTTGACTCTTTAATATGCATATATGCTCTATTCTTCAATAATCTCCCAATAACATGCTTTCCTCTTTCAAAAAATAAATCATTTAAATTCAAGTTTCTTATTTTTCAGACAGCTATGCAGTTCTACAATAAATGCTAGGAATGGATCAAATCAGAAAATGTTTCAGTTGAAGAACAAGCATGCTTTACAACTGGACATTCAGTATTAGATCATGTTCTTATTTTGCAACATCTACAATAGATGAAAATATACTTTTAAGTTAGGATCCGCACAATATGCAGCTTTTAACAATTTCAGAATCACTTTTGTACTTATTGCTACACATAGTGCAAATTTAAGAATAATGGATGCTTGCTTCTTGTATAAAACTTTGTGACAATTCTAGTTTAACAGTTAGGTGGATGCTGTTATCTTAGATACCAATTGGTCTAAGCAAACTTTATATAGTTTAGCTGCATATTGCAAGGTAGAAGCACTCAACATTAATTATGCAAAACCTAAAATATTGGTACAATATACAGAATATAATATATACAGAATATAATATAAGCGCCCTAAAATACATGCTTATCCAATTTAAGAAGTTTAGTTCTTTACATATATAGGAATAGTGTTTCATGCATGGCACACTTAGAGTACATTGTCTCTAGCAACAGAAGTCAGCAACAGTTCTGCAGTCCTTGTATTACTCCAGCAGTGCATTATTCATACCTATTTTCAGCTAGAGTGCAACACTTTTGTTCAGAGCCCAATTGAGACCATATAGGTCCTTCACTTCCTTTAGAGATTTTTAAAGAATATATTTCAGATCTTATGCAGGGGTGTCAAACCTGATCGCATCGCGGGCCGTATCGGGACTTGTTTGCCCTTGCGGGATTGTGGTGGGTGTGGCCTGCGTGGGGCGCATCCGGATCGCGGATCCTGTGTTTGACATGGCTTTGTGTTCCCAACATGGACTTAAATCATGAGGCTGATGTGACCAAAATTGAAACTAACATTTGGCTATGCATCTTTTTTATTGGTTAAAATTACTTTTAAAAAAATTATATTTTTTTCACATTTTACATCAGGGGATTGATGCCTCTGATTTTCACGTCTGATTTTAAGTGATGACTTGGTTTCATCTACGACAGCGCACACGCAACTGAAGTGCTGTGGTTTCTTCCTTAAAGCAGTCCTGAGGTATGTGAACATGCAGTGGCTGCCTGTAAATAGTGTGCCAAGGAACTGGCTATCGAAGATGTTTTCCTTTTTCAAGCCAACTAAATACTTAAGTCAAATATGGTTCTTAAATTCAGAAGAGCTCTAACTGAGAAGAGTTAATGTTCTCCCAACAGCTGTTTTTGAGGGGAAAATTTGGGCTATCCTGGGATATCTGAACAAAAACGTTGTCTCTGTGATGAAAGAAACTTTGACCTATTAGTCCATATTAATATTTTATTATATTTATATTTATTATTGCTCTCATGGTAAAGATGCCTAGCTGAAGCTAATAATACCACATTTAAGCAGACTTGCAATTCACCTGGATTTATTTTACTTACAATTGCTATTATCTAGTCACTATAATTTTATTTCTTTTAGCAAGACTTTGTTTTACTATTTATTAAATATAACATACTTCAACCAATTTCAATATCATAATTATTGTCTTTTACTGCATTTTTTATTTCCTGTCTCACAATTCTTTCTTCTGCATTTGAGCTGGTCTTTAATTGCAATGAAGTACTTCTACTAACTTCTGCTCTTGTCAATTTATATTATAGTGCCAAATGGCAAATAGGATATTTGCCTCTGAAGTTACTCCTATGTTAAACTCAAATAATATTAGAATAACGCTATGAAAGTACAGAAAGCCAGTTTGATGTATTCAATAAGGCATAAGGCAAAAAACTGGGAGACTGTGAGTTCTAGTCCCACCTTAGGCAAAAAGCTGGCTGGATGACTATGGGCCAGTCAGACTCTGTCAGCTCTAAGAAGGAGGCAATGGCAAACCACTTCTGAAAAACCTTGCCAAGAAAACTGCAGGGACTTGCCCAAGGAGTCTCTGAGAATTGGGCATAATTGAAAGGAAGAAAAAAAAAGTATAGTTCAATTAATGGCTGCTTGCTTATGTTAAACACAGTGAGCAAATTATTATTAACTGCATACCCAAAATTATGTCATACTGTAAGAATGGCATGGGGTTTACTTCTTGATTCACACTAATTTTGGCAAGCACCACACAGCAAGCCAAAGTGTTCGGAAATGCACTGTATTCTTGGCCTTTATTTTTAACACAGAAATATGATTCTGGGGAAAGCTACAGGTCCTAGCTATCAATCATTCTTTGATCCTGCTAAAGGCTCCCATGAATGACAGTTGCTGTCTTTTCTCATGCCTACTAAAGGTCTAAGCCTACAGTTGTACCCACATGTTTCAGATTCCTGCATATTGATGAAGCCTAGTTGATTTCTAATGACTTTCATTGACAAAATTACAGACTCCAGCTTTGATTATCATGTGTGATTGTTGTTTTTCCCAAACTTTAGTGAAGCTGTACCACTGACTGTCTTTACTAAGATATTCTTCTTAATAAAATCAATCTGTATTTTATAACATGACATAAATAATTGTTCTAACATTTCTGTATTTTATAACATGACATAAATAATTGTTCTAACATTTCTGTATTCTGTGTGACATATTGATGAATGTGCATTATGGATATAGGTTATAATGAAAGGTTTCTCATATTGCTATAATTTTATTTATTAGACTTTAATTTATGACACCATTTGATGGCACATAGAGTAATCTTGCTGTAGACTCAGATATAAGGGAGCAAGAAAGCAAGTGAACACTATGGAATAGATGCAGATGTATAACAGCAATCCATGGATAAAACTTACATGTATGTGTTCTTTATTCATCAGTACAATCAGAGCAGTGGTGGGATTCAAATATGTGAACAACCGGTTCTCTATGTGGATGCCGCTTCTGGAAGTCCATTCTGGGCCTGGGCAACAAAAACTTACGTACCGGTTCTGCTGAAGTAGTGCGAACTGGCTGAATCCCACCACTGAATCAGAGTTGAAAATCCTTGTTGTTTTATCATGATCAATGGCTCAAAATATTGGCTGTGCAGTTTGGATGTCAACCAGTATGTTTGGAACTAAGCTCTCTCTTTTTACAAATAGGGATAATCTTCAATAAATGAATCATGTACCTTCAACCACCTCTGACATTGTTTTTTTACTGGCATTTAGATTGGAAGATTGATTATTGGGCAAAATGGCATTTTATCTACTCCTGCTGTGTCCTGCGTTATCAGAAAGGTCAAAGCTGCTGGGGGGATTATTCTCACAGCTAGTCACTGTCCTGGAGGACCTGGAGGAGAATTTGGAGTAAAGTTTAACATTGCCAATGGAGGTAAGAGTTGTTGTGATGCATCTTATTACAAACTCTGGTTGTTTTTTTTTAGAAAAAAACCTAATGTCTGAAAAAAAAATGCCTATTACATTCACCATTTATAATCATATAAAAATTAAAAATAATGTCTGTCTATATCTGTCTATCCAGCAATCCAGCTACTCATCTTAAGACATCTTAGATTTAAATACAGTATATTTAAACAATGTTTAAAAGGCTTGTAGACTTTTCCAATTATTTGTTTTTTGGAATTAAAATCTTTGAATAGACATGTTTTTATCTCTCTTGGTTCCAGGCATGAGATCAGAGATAAGTAGTCTGATATAGTAGTCACAGATACCTCTGTTGACATCTGCACAGCTTCCTGACTCATTAGATTTCATTTATCTAAGATATTCTTTTAATTATAAATAAATAGGAATCTGATATACTACTGCAGCCCCGTTTGGAAATGTACCCATCTTCTCCTCCAAAAGTTAATAGATGATAACTGGTAGAATGCATCCTGTATGGAAAAAAAAGAATGACAAGGAATATTCTCACCAGTTTTTCCTATGGTAAATTAAATATGCTATTTTCCACATAGGACATGGTAGCCATTTTGTGAGAATATTGCAGATTCTCAAAATTCTACTATGCCCATTGGCTGCAAAATTTTGTACATACCAGTAATAGCAATAGTAACAGCACTTACTTACATACCACTTCACAGTGCTTTACAGTCTTCTCTAAGCAGTTTACAGAGACAGCATATGGCCCCCAACAATCTGGGCCCAATAATTGAACTAGATTGAAAAAATTCCTACTAATTAATATTTGCTGAGACATTAAAACCAAGGAGTTTAATTTGATTTTTCAGAAGAGTCAACATCCGACATTCAGATCAACTTTAATCTGAAGATTTCAGAGACCATAAAAACCTCTAATAAAATACGCATACATTGCTAAAATACTATGTTAATCTAAACTATATAAATAATATATAAAATTTATTTTGTATTTAAGAGCATTTAAACCTTGTTTTGAGGCAATATTCAAGAATTGATACAGCTTATGTTTGTATTATATTTTCAGGTCCAGCTCCAGATGTTGTTTCTGATAAAATTTATCAGATCAGCAAAACCCTTGAAGAATATGCCATTTGCCCTGATTTGAGAATTGATTTGTCTCGGCTGGGAAGACAAGAGTTTGATCTGGAGAATAAATTTAAGCCTTTCCGGGGTATTGAATTCTTTTCCATAGTTGGGAAAAATTGCAATTAAAACTTAAAAGTTAGTCCTTTAAAAAGTTATTGGCATGGTAATATTTTAGAACTGAAATAAGAAATCCACAATGGAAATGTGGCTTTTCCCTTGTTACCCAACTGTTTAAGTTTCACATAAATTTTAATACTATAAATGCAGTACCATATTGATAATGATCTTATTCCAGCTGTGACTGAAATTCAAACCAACATCTAACTTTCTGTTTCCCTGGTTCTTGTTAGATATTCCCATGCTAGATATTTTTCTTCAGGCATTTTACTTATAAATTTAAAGCACAAGTTGAAATTTCAGTTTTTCATTCTTCAGCCTTTATTTTACTTTGCTAAATTGATTATGGATTTTTGTGGTCATTGTGTTATTGAGCCACATACTGTAGTCATTTTATAGAGTTTTTTTTAATACATTGTTTTATTCTAGACTTTTTGATATCTTGTTGACATTTTGTTTTATTCTATTGCATGCCAACAGTTCTGGAAGCAATATAGTAAGTTTTAGACGTTATAAATCTATCTTTGCTTGTGCCTTTATCAGTCTGACATTATTACCACCCAGAGCCCCTGTCTGAGGGAGATAGGCGGTTAAGAAACATGAAATATAAATAAATAAATTAAGCATGTCTTAAGTTATTCTCTTGTTTACGCCTAGAATATCCCCAAAAGCTAACTATGGTAGAATATACAGAATTGATAGAATCAGATAGAAATTATGACTGAGAAAAAAAAATATTAAGTGGGACATTTTGTGAAGTAAACTTTTAAGTAAAAAAACCCTTAAAGTAACCTTCTGAGGTAAGAGTGAAGCATTGTATTCTTGAAAGTGAAACACTCCCAAGGACCTTACTATGTTGCCTGAACATGCATGTAAATGTGCATGAACAGAATGCACAGAAGCTGATTTTGCTGCTGAAATGTTATGCAACTTTGTCCTTTGAATAGTTCAGACAACCCTAGAAAGAATGCTACGGGCGTTGCATTGCCAAATTAAGTGGTGATCTTTGATAAAGGTGCTGGGTTAATTCCCAAAGTGTTTATGGCATAGATTTTCACTTATTCAGTGATAAAAATCTTTGTAGTAATAATTTTTCATTTGATGTGTACTTAACGCCTAAGCACAGTATCCTGACTTACATTCTTTGTTTGATCTTTTGTGCACAGTTGAGATAATAGACTCTGTGGAGGTTTACCTTAATCTTCTGCGGACCATCTTTGATTTCAGTTCTATTCGAGGCTTGCTAACCGGGCCCAACCAACTTAAGATCAGAATTGATGCCATGAATGGAGGTAAAGAGCACCATTTTTAATGCAGTATGTAAATCACTGATTTTTAAAATACTGAAAATAAGATTTCAAACTCATACAGTAATTAATTACTATCGATTTATAACAGGCTATAATTCCAAATACATTTGCTAGAGAGTGATCCTTAATGGATGCAGAGAAATGCACATGATTATGCTGTTAAGTATAGTATTCAAAATGTCTCCCATATCTTATGCTCTTAAGGGAGCTGTGTATATGGTGTCTTAAATTTCCTGCTGACTTAATTTTGGAGATGAGAGTGAAGGGGAAAAACCCTTTCTTCAGCTGAAAACCAAAATATTAGTTGGCTCTGAGAAAAAGCAGTTCTTGAACATCCAGCACACTTTTTGTTTCAGTTAACTCATGAAAAGTATTTATAGCTTTGTTCTTTTTGAATCGAAAGGACATCAACTATATATATATAGAAATCTAGCTCCCGAGCCCTTAAGATATGAACTATTTTCAGTAGCTCCACATAGACACTGCTACTTCTGTGCTGAGACAATTTATTCTTAACAGTGATATAATTACTTGGTATGACAAATGCATTTAATGGATTATATGTCAAAGAATTCGTAGAAACCCATTTTTTTCAAATGTGGCAAAAGTAACTGGGATAAAGGTGACAGATTAAAAAATACATTATTATATTTTTTTAAGTGTATACACTTTTGCCCACAAACTGGTTTCTTCAGTTTATTAGAATCTTCAGTAATAGGTTTTAAAATAATTAATTATTATCATCCTGAGAAAATTTAAATATGCCAAGAGTGTTTATACCACAAATAAATTGTTGAAATGCATCCTTCTATTAAATTCTTATACACAAAGTGATATCACATTTCAACCACTGCCTGTTTTCCATTTGTATTTAAGAAAAATGCGGTTCAATTTTTCTTCTCCCCACAAAAATGCAGATACTATAATTGAGTTTAGATATATTACCTCATACCAGCTATTTCCCTCAGCAATTGGCTAAAGGAGATACTTTCAAAGAGCCACAAAATTCTTTGCAGAAGTGGAAGAAAATCTGTCTCTTCCTTTAATTATGTTTGATGTTGGTGTTTAAATAGAACAACATTCTTTTTAAAAAAAAAATCAGTTTCCTTTCATTTCCTGAGGCCATTCTTTCCCCTGCTGAAACATAAAATTCTTTCAATGTGACTATTGCTATAAAATGTCCACTAGTAGAATATTTGATTTGTATCTGATATTATACAGCTATTTCTTAAGCATTCTCGTGGGTTTTTTTCCAAATGAAGTTTGTTATTTATTAATATATACCAGGTGGTATATATTGCTGCCCTGTGTTCTCACTACTTTTATAAAATAGCTGGATTTTCACTTGGGAATTTCCAGAGAACAAATTAATCCAGAATCAATCTGCCTTTAAATTAATCACCATGCTAATATGTTTGACTTTGACTGAGGCTTTTTGTCATACAAATGACATATGCAGCCGAACTGGGGTGGGCAGTTATGCATCTGGACCACCACCCTCCATTTGTGGCCCTAGTGGGTCACCAAATTGTGTGACTTAAAAAGTGGACAAACTGCCAATTTAGTTTTGCTACAGGTGGCCCTCAATTTATAACCACAACTGAGTCCAAAATTTCCATTGCTAAGCAAGGCAGTTGTTAAGTGATTTGTGCGCCATTTTACAACCTTTTTTGCCACAATTATTAAGCAAATCATTGCAGTTGCTAAGTGAATCTATCTAGACCCATACCAGTCGGGCTTCAGGCCGGGGCACAGCACGGAAACGGCATTGGTCGCGTTGGTTAATGATCTCTGGAGGGCCCGGGACAGGGGATACTCCTCTGTCCTTGTTCTTTTGGACCTCTCAGCGGCTTTTGATACCGTAGACCACGGTATCATGCTGCGACGTCTCGGTGAGTTAGGAGTGGGAGGNTGCACAGTTGAGATAATAGACTCTGTGGAGGTTTACCTTAATCTTCTGCGGACCATCTTTGATTTCAGTTCTATTCGAGGCTTGCTAACCGGGCCCAACCAACTTAAGATCAGAATTGATGCCATGAATGGAGGTAAAGAGCACCATTTTTAATGCAGTATGTAAATCACTGATTTTTAAAATACTGAAAATAAGATTTAAAACTCATACAGTAATTAATTACTATCGATTTATAACAGGCTATAATTCCAAATACATTTGCTAGAGAGTGATCCTTAATGGATGCAGAGAAATGCACATGATTATGCTGTTAAGTATAGTATTCAAAATGTCTCCCATATCTTATGCTCTTAAGGGAGCTGTGTATATGGTGAGAGTGGGGCAGAGTCGAAGAGGTGTCTTAAATTTCCTGCTGACTTAATTTTGGAGATGAGAGTGAAGGGGAAAAACCCTTTCTTCAGCTGAAAACCAAAATATTAGTTGGCTCTGAGAAAAAGCAGTTCTTGAACATCCAGCACACTTTTTGTTTCAGTTAACTCATGAAAAGTATTTATAGCTTTGTTCTTTTTGAATCGAAAGGACATCAACTATATATATATAGAAATCTAGCTCCCGAGCCCTTAAGATATGAACTATTTTCAGTAGCTCCACATAGACACTGCTACTTCTGTGCTGAGACAATTTATTCTTAACAGTGATATAATTACTTGGTATGACAAATGCATTTAATGGATTATATGTCAAAGAATTCGTAGAAACCCATTTTTTTCAAATGTGGCAAAAGTAACTGGGACAAAGGTGACAGATTAAAAAATACATTATTATATTTTTTTAAGTGTATACACTTTTGCCCACAAACTAGTTTCTTCAGTTTATTAGAATCTTCAGTAATAGGTTTTAAAATAATTAATTATTATCATCCTGAGAAAATTTAAATATGCCAAGAGTGTTTATACCACAAATAAATTGTTGAAATGCATCCTTCTATTAAATTCTTATACACAAAGTGATATCACATTTCAACCACTGCCTGTTTTCCATTTGTATTTAAGAAAAATGCCGTTCAATTTTTCTTCTCCCCACAAAAATGCAGATACTATAATTGAGTTTAGATATATTACCTCATACCAGCTATTTCCCTCAGCAATTGGCTAAAGGAGATACTTTCAAAGAGCCACAAAATTCTTTGCAGAAGTGGAAGAAAATCTGTCTCTTCCTTTAATTATGTTTGATGTTGGTGTTTAAGTAGAACAACATTCTTTTTTTAAAAAAAAAAACAGTTTCCTTTCATTTCCTGAGGCCATTCTTTCCCCTGCTGAAACATAAAACTCTTTCAATGTGACTATTGCTATAAAATGTCCACTAGTAGAATATTTGATTTGTATCTGATATTATACAGCTATTTCTTAAGCATTCTCGTGGGTTTTTTTCCAAATGAAGTTTGTTATTTATTAATATATACCAGGTGGTATATATTGCTGCCCTGTGTTCTCACTACTTTTATAAAATAGCTGGATTTTCACTTGGGAATTTCCAGAGAACAAATTAATCCAGAATCAATCTGCCTTTAAATTAATCACCATGCTAATATGTTTGACTTTGACTGAGGCTTTTTGTCATACAAATGACATATGCAGCCGAACTGGGGTGGGCAGTTATGCATCTGGGCCACCACCCTCCATTTGTGGCCCTAGTGGGTCACCAAATTGTGTGACTTAAAAAGTGGACAAACTGCCAATTTAGTTTTGCTACAGGTGGCCCTCAATTTATAACCACAACTGAGTCCAAAATTGCCATTGCTAAGCAAGGCAGTTGTTAAGTGATTTGTGCGCCATTTTACAACCTTTTTTGCCACAATTATTAAGCAAATCATTGCAGTTGCTAAGTGAATCTTGATATCATCATTGGGCTTCCCCCACTGACTTTGCTTGTCAGAATCCAGCTGGGAAAGTTACACATGGTGATTACATGACCCCTGGACAGTTAGTACATGCCAGTTGCCACGTCCCCAAATTTTGATCATGTGATCATGGGGATGCTGCCACAGTCCTAAACTGTGAAAACTGGTCATAAGTCCCTTTTTCCAATGCGTTGTAACTTTGAACAGTCACCGAATGAATGATTGTAAATCAACGCCTACCTGTACTTCTGTAGCAGCATAAAGAACAAAATAAGTGCAATAAATAACTGAAGCATCGGACATTTGTTTCACTTCCCCAAAATGCCCTAAAACTGAACCAAACATGGCTCTTACCCAGGCACACTGGCTGAGGAATTCTGGGAGTTGAAGTCCACAAGTCATAAAAGGGCCAGGTTTGAAGACCCCTGCTCTTACCACTTAGTGAAATTACTGTATTCCTTCTGCAGTAGCTGTAGAACAAAAAAAAAAAAATAGAGGTGCCTATTTCATGTGCTTAACGAACCTCTTCTATTTTCATTGATTTATTGATTATAGTTTGGTTTTACTATTGTTTTTTAACTGTAATTTGCTGATGCACTTTAATTTACTGATGCAGTCTGCACTATGTATATATATGTATATAATCCCTAAATTATTTGGTAATCAACAGATCTTTCATAGCCTTCATCTTTTCAAAGGAGATTAGTTTGGTCAGCTGCAGATGACTAAATATGCATATAAGTACCGAGGCATTTTTGTAGAAAATTGCAGGATGTCTTGCTTAATAGAGAGTTATATAATACCCCGTTTAATGCAAATTGGTTCCATTTTTTAAATACACAAAGGTGTTCATTCTGAATATTTATTTGAAAATGGTCTTTAAATTGAAGGCAAATCCCTTTTGCAGTGATGGGCCCCTATGTCCGGAGAATCCTGTGTGATGAATTGGGAGCTCCGGCTAATTCTGCAGTTGATTGTGTCCCTCTGGAAGATTTTGGTGGCCAGTATCCTGATCCAAACCTAACATACGCAACTTCCTTGTTGGAAGCAATGAAAGGAGGAGAGTACGGATTTGGAGCTGCGTTTGATGCTGATGGGGTAGGTTTGGGGAAGCTAAATTCATAGCTGAAAGTGACTAACGACTATCAGAGGATTTCTGTCTTTTACATAGATATTAGGCTTTCATCTAAGCGCAGGAGAAATTAATAGTTCAGTTATGCACTCCCTCACTATTATGAACGATTCAGTGGTTCCGCGATGTTCAGTGGTAAAATATTTAGAGTTCCAAAATATATCATTTAGTTGCTTAACACAGGATCAACTATAGATTTTTCAAGTTCATAACATGAATTGGAGTATACATTTCAAGTTCATAATGTATATAATGGATTTTCCAGACAGATGCTTGCATCTCTTTGATAGTATTGGAAGTGCTTGGCAGTTAGAATTGGAAATCTGATTTTCCTATGCCGCACCTCACTTCTAATTTTTTTTTTCATTATTCATAGTCATTACCAAAATAATTTCCAGTTCTTTCTAGAGCAGTGAAAGGGTTTTTTTTCTGATTTAATCAGTAAGCAACAGATGAAGAAATCAGTGTAAAAGATACTTTGGAGGCACATTTTTAACTCCTTTGTTTTAGGGCACGAAGAACTTTCTACCAAGTATTGTGTGACCATTTTAGGAAGTTTAGTACTACATTTGATATTTCCAGTTAAATTCAATTCTTTATCTCATCCTAACATATAGTTATTTATCCTTCCTTTGCTGAAAAGATTGTTGTAGTACAATTCCTGCCTAGTATTATAGAGCATAATTACTGGAAATCTTCATAGTTCAATTAAAGAAAACAGTTGATAACATTGTACTTTGTTATAAGATACAAATAAGAATTAAATTTCAAAATTGATTTTGCAGTTCCCAATGAAGGAGTATTGATAAAAGATATCTTCTTTCCTCCTCCCTCCCCCCTTCCTTCCTTCCTTCCTTCCTTCCTCACTCCTTCCCTCCCTCCCTCCCTCTCCTTCCTTCCTTCCTTCCTTCCTTCCTTCCTTCCTTCCTTCCTTCCTTCCTTCCTTCCTTCCTTCCTTCCTTCCTTCCTTCCTGTTTAATCAAACTTAATGTAAGAGAAAAGTTACTATTCTTCAGGACATAGTGTGCTTCCAGGAAAAAAAGAAGCTATATGAAATTTTGGAGTCAAAAACTATTATATTTTTTTCCTAATCTATTCAAGCAAACTAAAGTTCTCCATGTTCTCCAACTTCTCCATGCAGAAGTGTGCTGCAGCTGCCAAAAAAGCCAACACAGTGCTAGGCTGCATTAACAGAGGGATAGAATCAAGATCATGTAAAGTGTTAATACCACTTTACAATGCCTTGGTAAGGCCACACTTGGAATACTGCATCCAGTTTTGGTCACCACAATATGAAAAAGATGTTGAGACTCTAGAAAGAGTACAGAGAAGAGCAACAAAGATAATCAGGGGGCTGGAGGCTAAAACATATAAGGAATGGTTGCTGGAATTGGGTATGTCTAGTTTAATGAAGAGAAGGACGAGGGGAGACATGATAGCAGTGTTCCAATATCTCAGGGGCTGCCACAAAGAAGAGGGAGCCAAGCTATTCTCCAAAGCACCTGAAGGCAAGACAAGAAGCAACGGATGGAAACTAACCAAAAAGAGAAGCAACCTAGAACTAAGAAGAAATTTCCTGACAGAACAATTAACAATTAACCTGCCTCCATAAGCTGTGAATGCTCCAACACTGGAAGTTTTCAAGAAGAGACTGGACAGCCATTTGTCTGAAATAGTATAGGGTTCCCTGCCTGAGCAGGGGGTTGGACTAGATGACCTCCAGGGTGCCTTCCAACTTTATTGTTGTTGTTGTTGTTAGTGACTTTAGATCAAGCCATGTATCTGAGTACTATGAAACAGACTAAAGCCAAATAACAACCTGCCTTGGGTCTCCCTCTTGTTAGACTGCAAATTGAAAAAAGGGAGAATCCAGCTATTCTCTTTTACTTACTCATTTCCCCTTTCCTTACCCAATATATTTTATTTTCTCTTTCAGGACCGTTACATGATTCTAGGTCAAAATGGATTTTTTGTTAACCCTTCAGATTCCCTGGCCATTATTGCAGCAAATCTCCATTGCATTCCATATTTTCATCAGATGGCTGTGCGAGGGTTTGGTAGGAGTATGCCTACCAGCACTGCCTTGGACAGGTAGGAGACAAGTTTTATTGGTATCATTATAAATCTGGAGATGGATAAGGAATTGACTGCTATATTCAACTTCCAACACCTTGATTGCACTTCCTACAACCATCAGAAATTCTGCAACTAAATTTCATCAGCAAACGACCAAGAGATGATTTCCTTCATGTTTTATTTCCATCCTAGTTTAGGGCATTCATAAAACAATGGTTACATAAATAGTTGTGTAAATGCATCCAAATTATAATAAAATGTTCTTTCAATCTACAATATGTCTCAAAATAGCTCCAGCCATTGGTTTTGGAGGAGTGTGTTACTATCTTGGATGTGTGTGTTACTATCTTGGATTTTCCAGATATTTTTATTTTTCCAGATATGTACCTCTGAAATTCAACTTCAGCTTCTCACACTATTAAACTTTCTGATTGGGACTGCTAGGAGCTTTATTTCATTATCATGTGGAGGACCACAAATATATAAAGTGTGCAGTTAATTGCAGAGACACTGACCTCATGAACCAGAATAATCTCTATTAAACCCTTGTGTATTTCAGAATCATTTTCCAGAGGAGCTATACAAATTGGAGCTATTGTTGTTGTGTAGTGCATGTGTGTGCAGTTCCACATAATAGAAAGTAGAAACTATGAGCAAAACACCTTTGTTTCAGAAAGGTTGCTACCAAATTACAAATCTTTGTTTCAACGCTTGAATTTTCTAGCTGTTTTTCCACGTCACTCACTCTTCTTGATTTGACAAAGCCATGGGCACGATGTTTCAAACACCGATTACTGCTTTTGATACCTTTATCAAGTTGTTTAAAATAGTCAAAAATTTTAATATAAATGAAATAAAGTTGAATTTAGTAGGTGACCTTGAATTATTAACTACTGTTTTGGACTGGCAGATCATTCAAAGACCAAGCATAGCTCTCAGCTAGAAAAGACTGTGTCACTGAGCATGTTGTGTGAGCCTAGCTGTGGTGCTTTATAAGCTTTCATTGTTGGCGTAGCCTATTCAATTAAACCAACCAATTTTGACTACAGGTGGTCCTCAACGTACGACCACAAGTGAGCCCAAAATTTCTGTTGCTAAGTGAGACATTTGTTAAGTGAGTTTTGTCCCATTTTACAACTTTTCTTGCCACCGTTGTTAAGTGAATCAGTGCAGTTGATAAGTTAGTAACCCAGTTGTTAAGTGAACCTGGCTTTCCTATTGACTTTGCTTATCAGAAGGTTGTAAAAGGGGATCACGTGACTTTGGGACACAGCAACCGTCATAAGTATGAACCGGTTGCCAAGCATCTGAATTTTGATCACATGACCATGGGGATGCTGCAAAGGTCGTAACTGTGAAAAATGGCCATAAGTCACATTTTTCAGTGCCGTTGCAACTTTGAACGGTCACTAAACGAACTGTTGTAAGTTGAGGACTACCTGTAGTTGGCGACAAAGCATAGTTAAACCAAATCATAACTATGTGATGTATGAATTCAGTCTAAATAGACACAAACATCTGATCTGCTGATAAACATGAGGGTTTAAATCAGGGGTCTTCAAACTTGGCCCTTTTCTGACTTGTGGACTTCAACTCCCAGAATTCCTCAGCCAAGCACGCTGGCTGAGGAATTCTGGGAGTTGAAGCCCACAAGTCAGAAAAGGGCCAAGTTTGAAGACCCCTGGTTTAAAGAGTCCTCTTGGCTATATACAGGTAGTCCTTGGCTTACAACCTAATCAGATCCCCATTTTATGCCCTAGTTTGCCATGATGGTTAAGTGAATCACTGCATTTTTTTATGTGAATCATGCTGTCATTATGTGCATCTAGCTTCCCCCATTAACCTTGCTTATCAGAAGCCAGCTAGGAAGATTACAGATGNAGTGCAATGGTCATAAATATGTTACCAAGTGCCGAAATTTTGATTATGTAGACATGGGGAAGCGCATGGGTTGTAAGTGTACAAACTGATCATAAGTCACCTTTTTCAGTGCCATTGTAACTTCAAAAGGTCATTAAATGAATAGTTTTAAGTCAAGGACTACCTGTAATCTATTATTCCAGGAGTCCTCAACCTTGGCAAATTTAAGACTTGTGGATTTCAACTCCCAGAATTCCTCAGTTATTTAGCTTAGTCTTCAGAATTTCTGAGGGACTTTAGATAACTCAAAAGTATTTGTTCCTTTCTTCTAAGGGTAAACTATTTTCCATCCACCACCAAAATGAAAGTTTATATGTTATCATTATTTACACAGACATGTCTAACTTGGCACTGCTTTTTTCCTCCTAGTATCCTTTCTTTTTGTTTGGATATGACAAAACTGTTTTGAAATGAATATTTTTAGTGACTTTCCCAAAAAACTAATCAAAGGGCTTTGTAAACAACGAAGTCCATTTTGTTATTAACTCCAGAATATTCAGAGCAGTTTTTTATTCAGTAACCTTCCTCTAAGACCTGGGCTTCTTTTCATTTCCTTCATGTCCTAGAACCTTTGACACTGAAAAGTGGAAGGAAGGAAGGAAGGAAGGAAGGAAGGAAGGAAGGAAGGAAGGAAGGAAGGAAGGAAGGAAGGAAAAGATGTCTTTAACCCACTTCCGGTTGTAGGAGGTCTAACATAGGGCTATGGTCTGAAAATACTGCTTTTAATCCCCTAAAGATAACACAATTTAAATATTATATGCATAATAGCTTAATTTTAGTTTAATGATTATACAAACCTGGCCAATATATTAAGCCTAATGTTTATATTTTTTTAGTATAGTGAATGCAACAAGCTATATTAGGCTTAGAGGGGGGGTGGAGTTGGATAAATTGTGTTCAGCAGGTTGCAAGAATCTATTGATTGCATGGTTTGTGAACCAGATAATTGCATTAAACCATAATGTAGCTTACTGCAGTGTTCTTAAATTGTGGGTAATTACACTCGGGGTAATTTGGGCATATCCTGGGAGTAATGGAGAAATTTGTAGTTGGTCATTTGTGAGTCAAGGATCTAGTTTAGGACTGCCACTTCTAAGAGGCTTATGTAAAACAACAGTCTGGTTGTTTGTTTTTAGAAGTAATGACTTTGAGTAACTTTGAACCAGTGAGGATCGAACCCTTGGCAGTCAGCAGAATTAGCCTGCAATACTGCTCTGTAACCATTACCTGATTGCTTTGTAAGATAACAATTGCAAATGGAAAAATTAGAGGAGGATAAGTTTGTTGAGTGTGCATGGGAAGTTGTGTGGCACACTTCTGACTGAAACGGTATGAGTGATATCAGTGAGCAAAATTTGGAAAGTACAGTGCAACGTTATGCTTTGCAGAGAATGTGCAGACCTGGTTTTTTGATCTTCAGCAAGTCATTGAAAAGTGTTTAAATGTGAACAATATTCTCCTTTTTTTAGAGAAAGTGTTTGATAAAGTGATAGGCTTGAATTATGGAATGTTGTACCCAAATATAGAGTTGAAGGTGATTGATGAATGTGATAAGAGCAATATATGATGAAAGTAAAGCATCCAAGAGGCCAAACCAAATTTTTAATATCCTGAGCAGTGAGTAGCTGCATAACACCCCTTGGTGATTAAAATATTTATGGAAAATACATAAGGAATGGCTGTGGTGAGATTTCAGATATATCTGCTGGGAATATGAATGCATTAATTTTTTTTTAGGTATTATAAATATCTACCATCTTGTAGGGTTAGAACTTCAGTATTTTGCAGCAAATGTTAGATTGTATGTTACCAAAGAGTAATGCTTTGAAAAATAATATATCAAAGACCAAGGTAATTATGTTTAATAGAAAAATGATATAAATGATTGTGAGTTATACGTAAGTGGCAAAAAACCCCTCCTAAAACAAACAAGGAATCTGTGTACCCTGTTAGATGAAAAAGTGGATGAATAAATTTTAATATATACAAATGTAGGTAGAAAGAATGTATGGAGAGGTATAATAACTATGTTGACATAATTAGATTCAGCAATGTATTTTTTTCCCTATTTACATGCTTTTAGTTTCTTTTGGTTATTATTTTGTACTCCATTACTTTACTTTGCACAATGTTATTTATTCCAAAAGAAAGCTGTGTGATGGGTATATGTTTTTGCTTCAATATTTCATGTGCAAAAACAATCTGACTTGAATTAGAGAGAATACACTGCATGAATGTTGCCTTGGCACAGTTGTAAATTTCCGTGACTTCAGGGACTGAATCGAAGGAAAATATGTCTGAAATTATTCCAGGAACTAGCCAAATGAAGTATTCTGAAAATACATTATTAGCAAGCAATAAATACTTCAGGGAATCCCCAGGAAAGCTGGTTGAAATGGTAACAGTTCATTGTTAACACAGATTTAATTGGCTAGGGGAAAAAAAGAACCACAAGGGTGGAGTGAATTCAGTTTTAAATGTAGATGGGTCCGGGAAGAGGGAAATAGAAGTGTTCTCCCTCCTTGCAGTCCCTTCCCCCAAATGCTTTTCTTTCACTTCTGTTGTTGGAAGTTTCCTACAACTGGGGGGGGGGGAATATCTGGAAAAAGGGAGGTGCATCTTTTCTTTCTAAAAGATCAGTTCCTTTTGTTCCGCATGGCACTGGGAGACAGAAGTAATTTATTAATTTCCAGGAGTAAAGAGCTTCTCGTTCTTCTCATCCTCCATGACTGGTGGCATCTGGTGGATGTGGGGAACGTTTCCATTCTTGGTTGGTCATCTAGAAAGTGAAAGAGTCAATGGGCTCATGAAATTATCTGGGAACACTAGATTTACAAGTAATCAACAAAACCCAGGTGTCAGCAAAGATCTGCAGGTAGCAGAGTTGTAATAGATTGGTTTCAAACTGCTTGTGAATGGTTAGTTTTTTTTACTATTCAGCAGTGCACTTTATTCAGCCATAATGGGTTTGTGTTGAACTAAAATGTACTGGTGGTCGCCTATAACGATATGGGGCCAAGATACTTGAAGGACTGCCTCTGTTCAATTGCCATTACCTGCCCTATTATATCTGGCAGCAATGCTGTGCTTCAGTT